CAGTGACTATGGCAAGCCCATGGATCTGGATTATGTCTCCCTCTGCAATCATCTTCCAAAACATACAGAGCAATTCTTATTACGTAGCTGAATGTGAAGCAGCTCAGTAGAGAGTTAAGGAAATGCCCAATACAAAATTAATTGAAGGGGCAAACTTATGTGCGCAGAAAATGAATTTGTGTGAAGTCGTATCTGAAGAGCAGGACTCAGGGGAGATGCAGGCAGGAAGGGGCCACTACCCCCTGCCCTCCCCTCCAGCTCTGCCATCTCCCCAGGGACACCCTATACTGCCATAGTGGGGGGCACATGATGCCAAGAGCACCATTTAACCCTGACAGTGATGCAGGGTGGAGGGGAGATGCTTGGAGCAGCCACACAGGCTCTTCTGGGTCAGGGTCCTTGAATCCCCTTTGCAGAGGGATTAACCATCCAGGGCAGTTTCTTCCAATAAGAACAAAATCAGGTACAGCAATGATGGCTGGTTGAATACTGCAGGAAAATGCATTTTAGGGGTGTCACAAGACCCTCTTCCCCTTCTTCCCCTTCCACAGACCTCCTCCATCAGAGCTGGCATAGGCTCTGTTTGTTGAGACCAGCCACAGACCAAAGGTTTGCCGATATCTCCCCAAGGCCCCAGACATGATGTCTTGAAGACCCTAGTACTTCTACATGACAACCACGAACACGGGAAGCAACAGAAATTCTGCCTCTCCAGGATATCCAGTGGTCATGTTCACCATGTGAAGGAACCCATCACAAGATGCAGTTTCAAAAACACCTTCTAGCACACAGACAGCATTTAGACAACACTAGCTGTTAAGGCTCTTAACAGCTTCTAGATACTCGCCTTTAAGAATATTTACTGCCCATTTACCGCTGTGTTGTAAACACCGTTGCTAAGATGCAGCTGTACAATGAGAAACCCATCTTCAGAAGTGTCCTTCACTGCAGCGCAGGGTCTGAGAGCAGCTGCTGGGCAGTGACTATGCTGAGATTCGGGCAGCAGCGACCTGCAATGCTGCCGAGCCCTCATGTACTGAGACAAGGAGGCACAAAAGTACAAAATGTAATCAGTTCTAAGTAATGTTAAGTTTGATGGCTTTGTAATGGAAAATAACTGCGGTGCTTGGAGGTAGTTGACATAGTTTCAGGCCCTCAGGGCCTCAGTACAAAAGGTGTGAGAAAAGCAGAATAGAAGGACAGGACCTGGGGATGGGGAGTATCCCGGACTAGCAGACGTCCAGGGTGAGAGCAGTTAAACTAACTGATAAGTAGAAGGCCAGGATGACTGCCATGTCTGTAATGTTAATTAAGCTTGTTGGGAAAAGTAAACGACCCTTAAAGACCACCACATTTTTGTATGCATGCCGGAAACCTTTTGGAAAATGATGTAATATGCTCAGTGACCCTATGAGGATGACCTGTATAGCAATTCGGGGACACACGTTAGGAGGAGCTATCCCCCCCGTGTCTCCCGGCGCCGCAATAAAGAATACCTGCTTGTCAACTTGAAACTGTTGGCAAGTTTGTTCCTGGAGTTTTCTCTGAATCAGTACTCACAAGTCTGGCTACAGCTCTGGGTTACAAACTCCTCCCTAGAACTGGTGATCATTTCAGGCACATTTTCCTTTCGACCAACACCATAAATGCAGTGGGAACAAGTACATCTGCATATGTGGCATATGGAGCTCGTCAGCAGACTGGCACCCCGAGGCTGTGGGTCAGGCTGTGCTCCAGTTCCCCATGGCTTTCTATGGCTCCATTTCACAGAACCACAGAATCAACAATACTTGACTCTGATTCTATTCTATGATTCAACCAGGTTGGAAAAGCCCTTTAAGCTCAAGAAATCCAACCATTCCCAGCACTGCCAAAGCCACCACTAATCCATGGCACTGAGGGCCTCATCTACACGGTGTAGGGACGGTGATTCCAGCCCTGCCCTGGGCAGCCTGTTCCAATGCCTGAGCACCCTCTGGGGAAGGAATTGTTCCCCAGCTCCATCTAAACCTGCCCTGGTGCAGCTTGAGGCCGTTTCCTCTTGTCCCATCCTTTGTTCCTTGGGAGCAGATCCCAGCCCCCTCCTGGCTCCATCCTCCTGTCAGGCACTTGTAGGGAGTGATAAGGTCCCCCCTGAGCTTTCTCTTCACAGAATTACAGAATGGTTGGGGTTGGAAGGGACATCTGCAACCTCTAGTCCACTCCCCTGCTGTTTCATAAATGGACTTGTCTGGCTGACCATAGGGTGAAGCTCTCATGACCAGAACCTCACATTAGGATGTGGATGTATCCCCGGTTAAATCAGTGGTCAGTCCTAGGCACATCCCTTCCCACTGCAGTGCAGTCTCTGCTTCAGGTACGGCTGGCTTGGCTTGCTGCCCAGCTGCCCTCCCTCCTGCCTCTTCCTTCTACAATGTCCATCAAGAGCAACACATGCAGTGCTAAGGTAAGAGGAGAACCCCTGCTCCTTTCTCCTCCTTCACTTTTCTCAGCACATAGACACCTCTTCACAAGCTGCCCACCCATCTGGTAACCTGGCCATGCTGGTGCCCAGCTGCTCTCCACAGAACACCCTGGAATGTCATCCTGTCTCAACTTCAAGCACAGACCATTTTCCCTGCAACAAGCAGCACACAGAGCAGCCCCAGCTGCCACCCTCTGCTCCTACAGCTAGCAGGGAAGCTACGAGCTATGGAGAGATCATCAGCAGGTGTCAAAGCAAAGAAGTTCTGTCCCTGCACTCAGGCCCAATCAAACACAGAAGCAGCACCAGCAATACCAACTGGATGGCTCAGAGGCCCCAGTGTCCATGTCATTAAGACAAACACTGGAAAGGCAACCTTCCTGTAACAACATTTTCAAGCAAACACAGTGCCAGGAACAAACTGCAGTGTTGATGGCTGAGAAGCACCTACATCACTCTACAGAAAACCACAAGAAGACCAAGGTGTAAACGCCAATTATGTTTCCCCTTGCAAGAATTTCTTTCTCTTGTTCAGGTGCTTTTCTCCTCTGGCAAGACCTTGTATGATGCCACATTCCCAGCCTCCTCGGTGCCCCCAGCTCCCTGCAGACCATCACGCCCATGGTCCCCAGACAGGAGCTCCAGCATGTCTGCAGGAGCACCATCAGGCAGCAACTCTGCTCTGATGGAGGCTTGCAACACCTTCCTCCATCCCTGCTTTCAATAACTTCAGGATTATCATGGGACGTGAGAGGTTGTCAAGAATGTTCTCTTCTATTTGCTTGCTGTCACAGAAGTAATTAAACAAAGGTCAAAGGGTGTTCCTGGAGGAGCTCACCAGCCAGCTGAACCTCTCATCTGAAGCCCAGCTGAGGATCCCCCATGGTTCTGGGCATATCTAAGCAGCCAGCGGCCATACTGCCCCATCTGGAACTTGTGGGGTGATGGCTGTCTGTCCCAACCACTGAACATCTCTGTAGGTAGAAAGATCGCCAACAGAACCACAGATATGACAGCCACAACCATTATTTGGTCTCAAAGCATCAGCCTGAAGAGGAGCCACTGGCAGGTGCACAAGAGCCAAGCAGAAAAGGTGCAGCATATGGAAAATCCTTCTGCTGAGGAGGGATGGGAGCCAAGATGCATTTCAGTGAATACCCTGATCTTGGGAGAGTCACTCTGCCTCTGGGTAAAGTACCCCTGGAATGCCCAGCTTGGCCTGCAGACAAAAGCCACAAAGAGAGGAACAGAATCTCCCTTTTTCAAATGCAAACTCCTGGAAACACCACATCCCCCATAGTTCAGCCTGATGTCACTCTCTAGGTCATTCAATGCAGTGCAAGACATTTGTTCCCTTTGTGCTCCTTGGGAAGTATTGTCTAGAAAAGACTTGTGCAATCACGCTGCCTCCAGTTTGTCCTGCCTTGGACAATTTTAGGACTTATTTGTCATTTCTGCTACATTTGACAGAAGGGCCAAGACTTCAGAGGTGCCTGGTTTTGTGAAAACAGGCAGCACATGGGGAAGTGAGACCCTGTTTGCACTCCAAGTGCAGGAGGTGCTGCAGCTTTCAGCAGACATGACAGAATCCACACCCTAGAGCAACTACCTCAAGATCCAGCACTGGGAGAGGCTCTGGTAGGAGTTTGCACCTTCTTAAGACACCAACAACAGCATAGCAGCATACCCAAGTGGAAGAAACCGCTGAAGACAGACCTAGTCACACAGGGACTGCCCAAGTCTGCCAAAATACTGTGGCCAACATTGAACAACCAGAATATTGACTGTGGCTTGTTTCGGTCCTCTAAACAACCCTGAGGTTGCTGCTGAGCCCCATCCCACACCAATATCTACCCCTCAACAGACTGCTGCACAGATGTGCTGGCCATGCATACTCACTAGCAGCTGTCTCCAGGACCCTGTCCTTGAGCATCCTGGAGGACTGATAACATGCCTGGTGCTAGCTTGAGCAGGGCAGATGCGTGGTCCCTTGGCATGCTCCCAAGCTGTGGGATCTGCTGCACCCTGTGCAGAAACAAGAGATACTTGGACTTGGGAAGAAGAGGCATGTACAGAGAGACCCCCAGCCTCACCTCTCCTGCGTGCAGGCAAGTTTCCATTTTCCAGATTACAAAAATCACTCTTAGCTTTTGGCATCCCTGAACCTTACTTAGAGATGGACTCCTGCAAAACACAACAGCACAGTGGCACTGAATCTGTCACACAAGGCCCAACAATACCCCACTCCCAAGTGAATTTGAGGGCATCACTTGCAGAGGACAAGTGGTGCTGTTCGTTCATCTGTCATAGGGACTGTTCAAGTTAAGAGAAGCCAATGGTGAAAGTGCAACTTCCATGGGCAGAGCTCCCTCACCAGCACTCTCACTGACCCTCCTCAGGCTGCACAGCAGCCAGGTGGTCCCTCTAGTTTGTGCCCACTCTTGCCTGCAGCAGCCTGCCACCACGTGCCACCAGCAGAATTGGTGTACCATAGAGCACCCACCATGCCATCTCCTGAGGCCCTAGTGACCAGACCATGGCTGGCTACCCCTGCGTAGTGCTGGTGCAGGCAGCAAAGGTGGCCAACGACATTCTGCAAGGCCCAGCCCCTACTCTCCCGCAGCAGCCTGTGCCAGCACAGCAGCACAGCCGCATCACTCCTCAGCTAACCACGTTGTGAAGGTCACAGTGCCACTAAACCAGACCTGAAGAAGCTTATCAGGAGGCTGGTGCTGTAACACCACTTTGCACAGTGCATGCATGTTCTGCACAGGGCACACGGCAAGCCTGCACAGGGATTAACATCAGCACTTGGCCACCTGGCTGGCACAAACCACATGATGCCTCCTGCATCCAAGGCTCAGCATTGCACCACTCCCAGCTCACTGTGCTCCTCAGGGACATGGGTTCTTTGTACCTCCAGTGCCACCATGCTGAGCTCTGGCTCAGAGTAGCAGCCAGCACAGCTCTGGGAACATCCACCCAGTGCTTTACAGGGAGAAGACACCTTTCCTCTGACAACCACCAGGCCAAAAAAGGTTAGGGTAACCCACCCTCTGCACGGAGGCTTTCTCCCAGGCAGACACTTCAGCCTTCCACATGTAACCTGTATGAGCTGGGACCTGCCCCACAACAGTTTTCCTGGGCTAGGCTGTTTCTGCAACCCAGAGGAAATCCAGCTGCCACTCAAAGGCATGTCTGCATCTTCCCCTACTTCAGCTGCCTCTGCCTTCCCCCTGCACTACCACAGCAAGCAGCCAAGGAGCACAGGGAAAGGAAGCCAACCAGCTCTGCCAGGAACCATGGCAGCAGGCAGAGAAGTCACAGAGGCTGCGTCTCGTGTGGCCACCCCTCAGGAGTTACACGGGTGAACACTGGTAGATCACGGTCAGCCATGGCTCATCAAGGAGCTAAGTTTCCACTCACAGAGCCCCTGAGCTGAGCAGCAATGAAGGCCTGCTGAGGACACCTCTGAGCATGTTATATTGATTGATCTCAAAGGTGTTCTAGAAATGTTTGTAAATGAAGATCATAGAATACCAGGCTGGTTTCTGTTGGAAGGGAGCTTTAAAGCTCCTCCAGCTCCAACCCCTGCCACAGGCAGGGACACCTTCCACTAGAGCAGCTTGCTCCAAGCCCCTGTGTCCAACCTGGCCTTGAACACTGCCAGGGATGGGGCAGCCACAGCTTCTCTGGGCACCCTGTGCCAGCGCCTCAGCACCCTCCCAGGGAAGAGCTTCTGCCTAAGAGCTCATCTCAGTCTCCCCTCTGGCAGGTTAAAGCCATTCCCCTTGGCCTGTCCCTACAGGCCCTTGTCCAAAGCCCCTCTCCAGGTTTACTGTCAGCCCCCTTTGTTGGGGGGAGGGCTAGATACATAGATCCTACTTCTTCCAAAGAGAGAAACTGAAGTTACACAATTACTACGTGCAAGGCTGTTTATAACTGACTATATGCTTAACCCTTCTTCCTATTTTCAATACATTTGGATGCCCTATTTCCATCCTGACAGCTAGGACCAAGGGACTGTTACACCAGATGTACTTTAGCTGACACAGACAACAAAACATTATCTATGGAAAGGCCGCACAGTGCCACAGGTTATTAGAGCAAGACAAGCTGCTCAGTTCAGACACGACAAGTGTTTGATCTCTCCACTTTCACAGAACAGGAACTTAGAAGCAGTTAACCTGGGTCAGACATCAGAAGGGTTTACATCATTTTAAATGAATGGACATATCACATATGCCACCATCTAGAAATACAGGACTGCATTGTTTGTGTCCAAAGGCCACTCCAAGCACCCCCTGCTCTTTTACCCCACCAAGGCCAAGGACCTTACCAAGGGAGATTGGAAGGAGCTTGTCCACCTGGAGCTGCCCACAGCTGACAGTCTTAAAGTACCACCAGATGGGGACTTGCCTTCTCCGTTAGTATCTGTGGAGGAGTTTTAGTATTATTGATGGGGAGAGACATTTCTTTCTCTTTTCAGATCTTGGAAAGCCTTTGGCTCTTTGTCCCATCCACCAGCAAGTATTTTAATTTTTGAAGATACTAAGAGCCTTTTTAAAGGCATTATATTATTAGGATTGGTTTATACAAAAGGCTTTGGTGAAGAATATTTTCCTTACCCCAGGCTGAGTATCTTGGTCCATGTCATCTTGAGGATTTCCCTAACCCCTTCATAAAGCTTGGCAACGCATACAAATCCTTCCTTCTTCCCTTAAAGCCATGGAATGCACATCTCAGAGGTGTTTCTTGTAGCCTAACTCTGCAAAGCTTTTTGGGACAGAATTTAGACAAACAGTAGTCTGAAAATAAGATCTTAATCCTGCTGCCTGTAGCACAGCCTTCACTCTGAGCCCAAGTAGGACCTGCTCCAAGGACTCCAGCCTTTCCTCTCCACTGAAAAAGCAAATACTTGCCTGCTAATGTGTTTAGTTTCTTTGTATCAGTTCTCATTTTAAACTAAAGGGGTCTGAAGACCCAGTTAAGTAGGCACTACCTCTGTACCTCCTCAGGTGGGAACCTGAGGACAAATAGCCCTAGAGAAGCCCTGGCCAGAGCTCACCCATGGTTGGAGCCTGGTGCTGTTCTTTCATCAGGCCAAGACAGGATAGATCTCACTTCCACCTGCTTTTATCTTGTGATCGCCTGAACCAGACTGATCTCCCATGCAGTCATTGCCATTGCGTGGTTGCAGATGGTAATAGTAGATGTGAAAATGCTGCTTCTGCAGCTTCCCAATCATGACATGTTTTAGATCTTCTTCCAACAACAACTCCTTTGGTCTTCAGTAAGCTAAAACCCTTCCTTCATAAAATCCTAGGACATTCACATACATCTTGTAAAGTACCTGCAACATTTTGAATAAGCTGACAATATACTGACCATTTGGGGTAAAAAGGCCTTTTTTTGCAAACTTATACAGCCTTGGCATAACAAGGTTAAGCTAGATCATAGGGAATGCTGAATTTACTTACAGCCATACCAGCAGCTCCAGCCCCACCCAGTTCATAATGCGACTTTTTCCATCGCCCTTTTTCTTCAGGGCCACCTTCCCTTTTGGGGTATCTGCTGGGGCCTCCCTCTGGAAGCAAAAACCTACAGAAATTACCCATTACATGATTTCATGCTGCTCCTAACTTGCTCTCAAGAGCAGTGCAAGCTCCCTCTTTCCCTAGTACGCTCAACCACAGGGCCACTAGTGTATCAGCACCATGGGAACATGCTCTACTTTTGTCACACACTTACATCCTCCTACTAAGAGCAAGGGGCATCCTCCTCTCCTTTGTTCCTACCTTGTCGCCCACTCCTCACTGGATATGTGGACACAAACCAACAAACCTCACCATGGATCCTCACCTTGATTTCATCCTGTGCTATATTCCCACTTCCCTCATCTCCACTGGGTACTGAGCCAAGCTGCTATGGCCTCTGCGCACTGGCTGGGCTTTCACTCTTTCCAGCTCTTCCTTCCCATGCAAACACATAATGGAGGGGACCAAAGTAGCACTGATTCAACACCAGGAGGCAAATGCTGCAGACATTCAAAGAGCAGAAGCTAGCAGTAAGACCAAGGTGGAGACACCCCAGCCTCTGCCCAGCAGCTCCCCCAAGACCTGCAGGGATGGTGCAGTAGCATAGCACCAGCACTGAGCCTCGCTGGCTCCCACCCTCCTCATAGTCCCAAGAACAGGCTTCACTCCCTGGTGTGCAATGGCTGATTCACACACAGAGCCGAAGTGTTTCTTTACCCCAAGTTTGCACAAAAAAGTAGTACTAGGTGGTATTGCAGAGCTGGCACCCACACCATACAGAACTGATGTATTTATACAAGTCAGTTCAGGTTAGTCACTCCCCAAAACCTTCCCACCATTTAACAACTGGTCAGTTAATTTACGTAAGATCACACTGTCACCAAAAGTCAGCAAAATAAGACTCCTTAACACAATGTAGCATTAAGAAGCAGGCATTATTTATTATGGCACCCAATGCATGGGGGAATTGCTCCACCAAACGTGCATGTCGGTTCTTACAGGTTTCTTGCTTATGAGAATTGATCCCATACATATACGTTATAATTCTGTAATAAATTGGGACCACAACGGATCATAATCCAATTGAATTTTATTAATTATAGCAAGTAGAATATGAGCAAAGACAGCGCTGGACGACAGGGGAGTCTGTGCTCCGACAACTGCCGTACTGAACAGTTCTAACAGTCCCTTTTTATCAGTCCTCCAGTTCCGCATTCGTATCTTCAACGGAGTACTCTGCGCATGCCCCAGTTGCTTGAGGCTGAAGGCTTGAAGTCCTCCTCGGTTACCTTTAGATATCCTTTTCCATATATGGTCTTCAACTTGCTGTGCAATAATTTTTAGAATTATTTTGCAAAAGCCCTTAGTAAGCGTCTTGCGGTTTGTAAGTAATTTTGGTGTCAAGTAAAGCACTTAAGCAAAGCAATAGTTGCCCCCACCCATATGTCTGCCAGTTTTTTTAGAACATCTTGCAGATATTTCCTCAAAACTTGCAGATATTTCCTCAAAACTTGCAGATGTTTCCTCAAAACTTGCGCAAGCGGTGTCTGGTTTAATCTGCACAAGCGACCACGGTTATCTTTTCTTTTGTTGTCTAATCTTTACATCAGGCTTAGCATAAATCTTAATAAACAATACCATAGTCCCTAGTTTTTCACAATTCCCAGGAACCTTATACATAATTTCTTCCCAGAATTAACTGACATAGGTTACTATCTACTAGAGCATGCATGGTAACTCTCTTTGGTGGTCCTAGGGGTCGTTACTTCTCTCTTCTCTTCCTCGGGTTATTCACAGGTCACACAGAGGATGATGAAGATGTGATGCTTCATCTTTTTCTCGCTGTAGCAATCCTCCACACCACAGGGTCAGATGTCCTTCTTGATTGCCTGCAAGATCCCTGTTATCTATGAACCACATGTATTCAATGTAATGTTGCCATGGTATGAATGGGCTACTTTTAGTTGAGTTTGCAAGCCTCGAGGCACTTAAAACAACTGAGCATTGTAGGAGCATTTTTACATGTATCAACATCACTGATTCCTTACTCCGCATGCTCAGTGAAGGGTCTTTTGACCTGTAGGTGTGCTATTTAGTATCTTGAGTATGGTTCATCTAAAGGACACCCTGATCATGTTGTGCTGACATGTCGAAGTCCTATCTTGATGATGTCCATGTGTTTCCAGGATGTACCAGCCTCCAAGGATTGTTTTCCCCAATTAAGACATTCATTAGCCCTGTTTCTTTATCCGGCTAGGCAAGGCCAAAACCTTCTCCCAGGCTATCAATTCTCTTAAATCAGTGTCGTTCTCAGGTCATCAGATCAGGACCTTTCAGGAGGCCCTTGTATGTGCTACTCTGGAAAAGGAGGTTTTTCTATAGTAACATAAGTCCCAATATTTTTACTATATACCTATATAAGACCCATTTTCTAAACTATATGCTACAGCATCCTTGTCCCAGCCCTGCAAGCTGGGTTCCCGACACCGAGCCTGGAGCCACCAGGGTCAGTCAGCACAAGACACCGCTGGTGCAATAGCCGGCACACCAGGGAGCTGCGAAAACACACTGCCTGGTCCCGCAGAGGGGACACAGAGGCCCCTCCCGGCCCTGCCCTGCCTCAGCACTCTCAGGCCCCTGCTGAAGGTCCTGCTCCACCCCCTACACGCAACCCGGGGCCCAAGAGGTGTCGCCCGGCCCGAGCCCTCCAGCAGCGCCCCCGGAACCAACCGGCTCGGGCAACACAGCGCTTCCCCGTGAGGCACGGCCACGTGATGGGCCGGTGGGTCACCACGTGATGCCGAAAGCGCTGGGATCATGTGAGAGGCTGCCAGGATCGCCCCGCGGCAGAACTGTCGTCGGTGGGAGCTGTTGGTTGTCATGGAAACGCTGCTCCTGCTCCTCTTGCCGCTGGCCGCCGCCGCCGCCCATCCCGGTGGGTGACCGGGCCGAGCCCCCGCCCGCCTCCCCGCGCCCCTTTTCTCCGGTCCTGCCACCGGTGGAGCCCCTCCAGCCAGTCCCCCTAGGCCCCGAGCGCGGTCTCGAGCCAGTCTCCCTGGGCGGGAGCCCCCTTGCCGGCCTGGGGAGCGCTGGAGCTGGGCCCCGGTTAGCAGGGCTGGGCTGGGCGGTACGGCCTGTACGGTACCGGGTGGTGGCGCCGGTTGCCGGTTTCTCCGGCGATGACGGTTCACCCCCTCCAGCTGCCCGGGCAGCGGGGCCCGGCCTGGAGGAGCGGCTCTTCGAGCAGGTGCGGGACCACTTCACTTTCGAGAGCTGTGGCAACGAGACCTTTCCGCAGCGGTACCTGGTCACAGGTGGGTCCTGGGGGTGTGCTGTGGCCGAGCTGCTCTCACCCCGGCATGGCCGTGCGGGGTCTTGCGATAGCTCAGGCTGAATTTCTGTCTGCTTAAGCTCTAGCCACTCGTGCCCTGAGGCAGAGAGCCCTTGCTTTCAGTGCTCACAGAGCTGTGCTGAGCAGCCAGGAGTCAGTTTGAGCCCTTCCTGAGCCACTCGTTCCTGCAACCACACCGTTATCCATAGTTTCCTCTCCTTACCTTCAATTTATTGTTACGGCCATGGGCTGTGGAGCGCAGGTTTGGGGTTGACCTCTCTGGAGCAAGAGAGACCAGAAGTAGCTTTAGGCTTGTGCCAGGGCTGGCTCTGTGCATGTAAGTCTTCAGCTGGTCACAGCATCTCTTGCAAGTGCAAATAAGTGATCTGAATGGGGCCTGAAAGAAAGCTGGAGAGGGGCTTTGGACACCTGTAAGGACAAGACAAGGGGGAATGGCTTTAACCTGACATAGAACTAGGTGAGATTTAAGATCCCTTCTAACCCTATGAGGGTAGTGAGGTGCTGGCACAGGTTGCTTAGAGAAGCTGTGGCTGCCCCATCCCTGGCAGTGTTCAAGGCCAGGTTGGACACAGGGGCTTGGAGCAAGCTGCTCTAGTGGAAGGTGTCCCTGTCGTGGCCGGGGTTAGAACTGGATGAGCTTTAAAGCTCCCTTCCAACCTAAATCAGTCTGGAATTCTATGAATGCAGGAGGAAAATGAAATAGTGACTGAAATATTGCATTGTTCTCAAGAATTAAGATAACTCTGGGTCAGTGTTTTGCATTATTTAAAACCCTGCAACTTTATATATAGCTTGAACCATGCTGAACAGTAAGGGATTCCAGCAAGGAGCCGACAGTGTCTTCCTCTCTAGCCAAATGCTGAGTTATTTTCTCTGCCACAGGCAGTAAGAGAAAGAAGGATTTTCTAAGCAGTGTGTAACTAAAAAGGCGGCAACTCCAATAACCAGCAGCATGTGATGTTCAATCCTGCCTGCTTGGAGGAATCAAGGAGAGATTTGCAGGGAGCAAAGGTGGAGCTGTGAATAGCACCAGCCCAGAGGCCTGCCCAGCCCAGCACCTGCCTGCTGCTGCTTCACAAACTGTCCATGTCTGGGGCTTTGGATGCAGCACCTCACCTTCCTTACAGGATTTGTTACTCTGCAGCTTGTTCAGCACCTGCACACAATCATGTGTTTCACCAAGTGTGAATGCATGGATCAGTTCAGTCCAAATATATGGGAATTGACAGTGAATTTTGATAGTGTACCCAAATTTTACTAAGTGGCCCTTTGTGGACAGAAACTTGGGATCACCTGGTTTAAAGCATTCCTTAACCTCTAGTTCTTTTGTTTTGAAAGTGTTACATTTGATCTGTGTGTCCTGGGCATAGCTGAATAATATTTGTGAGAAACAAAATATTAACATTGCAGTTCTGCTGGTTTACAAATAGTTTTTAATGCAAAATGCCTCTGAGGAGTTTCATTCCCCTTTACTGCTGCTTCTGCAATAGAAGACTTCGCAGATTATCTGTGAGAACTTGGAGACTGGTGTTTCACAACCAGGCATCTGACACTCTTGAAGTTAGCTGGCAGATTCCCAGGATTTTAGTCTAAAACCAGATACATTTTAAGCAATCCATCTGGTTTGGTTTTGGCTCCTGTGACTGGTTGTTTACTCTAGGAGCCAGGAAGCATATCAGAAGAAAAACCACAGTAAAAATAGCACTTTGTTTTCCTACCTGATAACCCAAAGCAAATGCAACACAGAGAGACAATCATCCTCTTCATTAACAAAGAACATCAGTTTCCCTAAAGAAAGCTTTCACACCCACAAATCCTGCTTTGGCAAGTCTGTGTTGAGAATGCCAAGAATTAAATTCAGGGCTCCTGTGATGTTCTGCAGTGGCATCTGTAGGACAACCACTGTTGGAAGATCTCTGTGATGATCACAGACTGAGAATAGTGTTGAGTAAGGTGAATTGCATTTAATCTGAACAATAGAGGCCTGACTGTGCACCAGAAAATCTTCTCTGTCTCTTGGTTAGTAACCTGTTATAAAAAAATATGTTGTAATCATAGAATCATAGAATAGTTAGGGTTGGAAAGGACCTTAAGATCATCCAGTTCCAACTCCCCTGCCATGGGCAGGGACACCTCCCACTAAACCATGTCATCCAAGGCTCTGTCCAACCTGGCCTTGAACACTGCCAGGGATGGAGCATTCACAACTTCCCTGGGCAGCCCATTCCAGTGCCTCGCCACCCTTACAGGAAAGAACTTCCTCCTTATATCCAATCTAAACTTTCCCTTTTTACCCTTGTCCTGTCACTACAGTCCCTAATGAAGAGTCCCTCCCCAGCATCCCTATAGGCTCCCTTCAAATACTGGAAGGCTGCTCTGAGGTCTCCACACAGCCTTCTCCAGGCTGAACAGCCCCAACTTTCTCAGCCTGTCTTCATACAGGAGGTGCTCCAGCCCCTGATCATCATCGTGGCCTCCTCTGGACTTGTTCCAACAGTTCCATGTCCTTTTTGTGTTGAGGACACCAGAGCTGCACACAATGCTCCAGGTGAGGTCTCACAAGAGCAGAGTAGAGGGGCAGGATCACCTCCTTGGACCTGCTGGTCACGCTCCTTTTGATGCAGCCCAGGATACGGTTGCTTTCTGGGCTGTGAGCGCACACTGAAGCCGGCTCATGTTCATTTTCTCATCGATCAACACCCCCAAGTCCTTCTCCTCAGGGCTGCTCTGAATCTCTGCCCAACCTGTAGCTGTGCCTGGGATTGCTCCAACCCAGGTGTAGGACCTTGCACTTGGCATGGTCAAACTCCATGAGGTTGGCATCAGCCCACCTCACAAGCGTGTCGAGGTCCCTCTGGATGGCATTCCTTCCCTCCAGGGTATCAACCGAACCACACAGCTCGGTGTCATCGGCAAACTTGCTGAGGGCGCACTCAATCCCACTGTCCATGTCAGAGACAAAGATGTTGAACAAGACCGGTCCCAACCCCTATCCCTGAGGGACCCCACTCGTTACTGGTCTCCAGCCGGACACTGAGCCATTGACCACAACTCTTTGTGTGTGGCCATCCAGCCAGTTCTTTATCCATCGAGTGGTCCATCCATCAAATTGATGTCTCTCCAATTTAGAGACAAGGATGTCGTGTGGGACAGTGTCGAACACTTTGCACAAGTCCAGGTGTGAGGTTATGTGTCCAAATCAACACTTAATTGACAACCTGAGGTCTGTTGTTGAAGAAAGCTGTCTATTATCCCTCTTAATTCTTATGCTATTTAAGACTAAGCTAAAATAAAATGCTTTCAAGCATTAAAGCAACTGTTTGTTAGATAAGCAAGTACTGGTATCATGGATCAGCTTGTCCTCCCTGTCTCAATTTGCCTCCAGTTCTAAACAAATTGAAGGATGAAGCACATCATCTTAACATAGCATCATATATATATATCTATGTATATGATATGTCATATGAGATATATATATATATATCTGATACATATATGAAGACAGGCTGAGAGAATTGAGAAGAGAAGGCTCTGGGGAGACCTTACAGTAGCTTCCAGTGCCTAAAGGGGCCCACAAAAAGCCTGGAGAGGGGCTTTTTGGAAGGGCCTGTGGGTACAGGACAAGGGAGAATGGCTTTAAACTGACAGAGAAGTAGATGAGCTTTAAGGTCCCTTCCAACCCAAACCATTCTAAGTTATGTGATTTACAGCTTGGCTCTACATTATACATCACAGCAGAAAGCTTCCCTAATGTCCACTTCGTGGGAAAATGATCCGTTCAAGTGTTTTGGGATGAGCTGGGCTGAAGAGGGTATATAGATGTGAAATAATTCTTGGGGGTATGATGAGGCAGCTGTGTCTAAAGGCCTTGCTGAACTTGAGTTTTTTAGGGATTTTCAGGGAGAATCATAGAAGTGGCAGTTCCAGCCCACATGATGTTCTCATGGAAGCTCTTACTTACCCCTGCTCAAATGAGAGATTTCTATAGCCTGGGCTGTTAAGCTCCTGACCAGACTCACTAAAAGTAGTGTCATTTCATGCTCATGATGTTTGTTTGGGTTTGTGGGGTTTTTTCTTTAGTTCGGTTTTTGTGGGTTTTGTTTGTTTGCTTATTTGCTTCTGTCAATTTTCTCAGCAAAGTTCTGGAAGGAAGGATGTGGACCCATCTTCTTCTATACTGGCAATGAAGGTGACATCTGGACTTTTGCTCAGAACTCTGACTTCATATTTGAATTAGCAGAGGAACAGCAAGCACTTGTGATTTTTGCTGAGCATGTGAGTATTTTACTACAACAGAGTCTTGTTCTGTTCAGTATTGCCAAATTCTGTTCAGTATTACCAAATTCAGCTTTTTGCTAGTCTGGAAATAAAACCACCTCTTGCCATGAAGCTGAGGGGTACCTGCTGTAAGCTTTCTGCTTGTGGTAGCAGCTCTTCTTTACTTAACCATGGCTTCAGAATGTTTTTTACTGTGCCTACCAGCAATCCAGGATACAGAATTACTGTTTCGGTAAAGCCTATGCCACAGGGTATTTGCCTTAGATCAGTGCTTTTGTAAGTAGTTTCCATGGGTCTTGAACTCCATGCTTGTCTAGAAAGTTATTTTTGTTTGGATAATTAATCTCCACACCATTTCCAACACAGTTCTATTAAATCTACTATTCTGGAATTTATGCATGAAGACATTACACTGTTCCCTTTTCTAGCTGGGGATTTCAGGAGAGAGGCGTGCTGAGGGCCCGCTTGACACCCAGTGAAGCAGATATGTCCTGAAGGTCTCTGTTTATCAGATGTAGGAGAAAAGGCACTTCCTGAGTTACAAACAAGTTAGAGGACACCATGTGCTCTATTATTGCTTCCTGTTTGTGCACACTTATCCCAGTTCTATAATGAGAACAGGGAAGACCTGGACCTTGACACCAGCATTCTGCAGCATATCTCTTTCCTTTCAGAGATACTATGGGAAGTCTCTCCCATTTGGACTCGAATCAACACAGCTGAAGAAGACTGGTCTGCTTACCGTGGAACAAGCCCTTGCTGACTATGCAGTGCTAATTACTGAGATTAAGCAGCAGTATGGTGCTGCAGACTGCCCTGTCATTGCTTTTGGTGGCAGGTAAAGATTGTGTCCTTCCCTTTTCAGCATCCTTTCTCAGCCACGGCTGTGCTGTTCTCGTAGATCTGTTTGGCTCTCAAGCAAATTCTAAGCGTAGAGCTTTTCGCTGTCTGATATAGAGCAGTTGTGCCTGTACCTGAGCTCCAAAGATCTCATCACTAGGCCCCAGTCAATTCTTCCATGAAGAATTAGTCTCAGTTTGTGATTGCTTTGGAGAAGCACCACTGACCAGATATTTCTAGGTAGCTTCAATGTGCGAGACAGCCAGAACTGCAGAAAATGGGAAATTCGTCCTGTAGGATCAGAACATTTTATATTGGAAATACAGAAAACTAATAATTGGGAAAATATTCTTTTCAGGGGCCACCCAGCTTTTTATTAAACACAGCCTCTTTAACAACATCCAGCCATTTTCACTCTAGGCTCTTTTATAGTTGTTCTGCAATCTGCTGCTTGGTTGCTCCTTGCTTCCTAGCAGAAGTTCTTTCCCAAATGAAGGCTGAGGTATGTAACGACTTTTTTTTGCCACAGTCTTCACCAGCAAGAGCTCCAGCCACTCTGCCCGAGTCACAGAAGGCTCATGGCTCATCTCCAACTCAACCATGCTATGATTCTATGAAAAATACTGAAATACGGCAGTGTTGGAGTAGCACAGCATGTGCCATGGGAGAAAATAAAATACCTCTTCTGTTGCTTGTAACTTTTCCAAACTTTAACCTGAAATTACTTGCGGCAGGTTTCAGCTATGCCTGTTCCCAAGAAATGCATATTGCTTTACATGTGGGTGATCTGCAACCACTTGAGGTGGTGGGGAGGAAGACTTGAACACCTCTAAGCTTGTTTCCCCTTCCCTGTGTCTGTGCTGATCATCTATGCAGCTGTTATTTGGGGTGTCCAGAGGGAACACTCTCTACTTCCCAGCAGCAGAGAGTGCTGCTTATTCTTTAGGGTCCAGGGACACCCCTTGCTAAAAGCCTGGCTAGTCTTTATAATCCTGTATGCAGAATATGTCTCCTTCCCCCACTGAAAAAGTGACAGCTTCACTTGACCCCTACTAGTTTAGCAATGTCAGGGCATATGCAGTATGGTGAAGATTTCAGTATTGAGGCAGGATTTATGTATGGCTGCAGAAGCACACTGGGCTGCTGCATTCCCACCAATCTGGGGTGAGCAGCTGGGGAAAGCCCAGTAAGAACACAGTGTGTGCTGCTCATTTTAGATGAGGATGGAAACTACTAAGATAACCACAAGCTTCTTTTTGCCTTGTGTTAGGTGAGCCTGGGAATGCTGGCCTGAACTGTTGAGTTACTGTGTTCTTAGCTGCCTGTTAAAGGAAATCACTCTTTTGTCTCTCCTGTGGCAGCTATGGAGGAATGCTCAGCGCTTACATGAGGATGAAATACCCCAACATTGTGGCTGGAGCATTAGCTGCTAGTGCTCCTCTGCTGTCTGTGGCTGGGCTTGGAGACCCCACCCAGTTCTTCAGAGATGTAACAGCAGTAAGTAGCACCACTTTTTAGGAGCATTATTTTCTTCCTTTAAGAAGGCTGGACTTTTTTTTTCCTTTTCCATGTGTTTAAACAGACATCTGTCCTCACAGCATCAGTGCTGGGCAGGCAATGCAATTAAGTGGGAGCCTGCAAGGAACAGCAGCATCTGCAGTTGTGATGGCTGAGCACTGCCTTAGCTGTTGGCATATCAGACCCCAGAACTGCTGTTCTGGGCAGCACAGTTTGGTTTCAGCACTTTTAGTACCTCTAAGGATTCACTTCCCCATTTCTAGTAACTTGACCATTTTACAGCCTGAAAGTTCTCCTTTTTGCCTGCCTTAATTCCTTTTGGATAATTTATTCTTCAGATCCTCTCCCAGAATGTTGTATTTTGCATCGTTATCAATGATTCACAGCAGTTACTTAATCCGAAGATGTTTGCATTTCACTAACTAAAAATATTCAAGGTGTCCTGGGCATACTTAAAAGCAAAATTTAAATATGGCTTTCACATTTTGAGGACATAGGACCTGTAGGAGGGTGCTATTGCTTAGAACTGACTTACATTTAGTTTATAAGGAAAGACATGTACTACCTGGCAGTACTGAAGTCTTGTGATGTTGTCTGTTTTGTCTCTTTTCAACATGAATTTCTACAACTGGGTGACACATGGAGTTGCATGAACTACCTGTATGTGAAACTTGTGGTCTTTTTGCCCTTATTTACATATATGAAAACCTTATTTCAATGCAGAGACTTATAGATAGCATAGCCACTAAGTGTAAAGAAAAGACTCTAACTGTTGAAGACAATAAAAGAACACTGTCTTTAAATTATAAATTTTAAAACAAAAAATGTAATACTACTTAGTCATCTGACAGGCCCTGCAGTCAGAATTCTTCCCTGGTTGAGCTGACATGCGGACTGACTCCACAACTCATTAGAGTTGTAAAGTAGGTATGCTTTATTCAGCTGAGGCGCATGGGGGTTGCTCATCCAAAAGCATGAGCACCCCCTTTGCCACTCAGTTCGTTTATATTACATATAATGATTACCTAAACATGAGATTGCTTCACGCCTAATACATATGCAAAACCTATTCCTGTCTAGTATTATAATTAGTTTTCTGGCATTTGTCCCATTGGTGCGCCTGTGCAGTGCCTCCTGGTGGTGGTCGTTAGGGGGTCGTGAGGATGAAGGCCTGTAGTTCCTCTTCATCACCGCGAGTAACCTCTTGCTTTCAGGCAGATTCAATAGGGTTTCAGCTCCTATCCAAACCTCAGGTTGGGTACAAGCTGGTTTTATGTATCTTGAAGCAGAAACTTGTCAGGTTTGCAAATTTTGTTACTCTGGCTATCTTTTGTTCCTTTTCTTTCTAAAGATACTATTTAAACAAGAATGTCTTGTTTATTAATATTAGTATTAATATTAATATTAATAATATTAATATAAAATATTAAGCTATGAATCTTATCTACTACGATTCTGTCTAGCAGCTGTAACTCCTACAATTCTGCTTCACCATTCTTGCAACTTTGACTCCTACGGTTCTACTTCACCAAGCACAGTGACTGCTTAAGCAAGCAGGCACAATGTTAACCCTTTATTTCCCGGTATCAGTGCTAATTCCTTCTCAGAAGCCCTGTTCAGCTGATATGCGTCTTTCTTCAGTTGTGAATATGTTGAGTCATTACACATCCTTGAAATGAGGGCTTTGACCTTTGCATGCCCCAAATTCTCCCATCATGTTTAAAATCTGTTCTCTCTGAAGCAATAAGCTGACCTTTGGGCTGTGATCCTAAACAAGCACATTTTGTTGCTTTCAAAGTAGTTCCTTCCATCATCAGTGTGTTTGCATAAAACCAGTTTGTGCATCTGAAATCTGAATTAAGTCGCTGCTCTTGGTGAGTGAACACCCCTGAGAGTTGTTAATAGTAATGAAGGCAAAAACCTTCCATGAATCATTGCAGGAGCTCTCTCTTCCCGTGAGTCAGTCTCAAATCCAGCTTCTCTGTGACTTACTGAGTTTTCCCAGCTCACTTCATAAGCCTCTAGCTCACAGGGAAAGTGAGCAAAGGGCAGAAAGTTGATTTTGAGTAAGCATAAGTTCTATACGCCAAATGCCCTGCATACAGCCAGGCAGAACCCCCTGTGTGAATGTTACACATACAGCCATATGCATGCATGCTTCCCATAGGGATACTGCTGCAGGGGCTGTTTGGGCCATTAACTTTAATCAGTTTAGACATCTGAATTAGGTGATTCCAAAGAGTAAAGCTGGCAGCCTGGAGTGGGAAACAGCTTTCCTTGGAATGGCTGTAATGACTCCTGCCCCTGCTTCTTTGAGGTCTCAGCTGAACTGTTCCTGAGTCCTAAGGGTCTGCAGGAAAGAACTGGAATGGGTGGTAGTTTGCAGCATGCTGCTGCACTCCAGCATGGCTAGTGGGGAGCTCAGCATCATGGCAGCCAGAGCAGACCTGCTCCTCTGTCCCATGCTGATCCATCCCCACACTCCAATTAGAGCCATTAGTAGATGAAGATCAATAAGCACAACCAGGAGAAGATTTGGAACCCCTGAAGAGTTGCCCAGGTAAACTGTGGAAAACCCCATGATGATTTATCTAGGTGTAACTATCAGACAAAGGCAGAGTTAGAAATGAAAGAAAGGTCCCAAATCTAGTTTTAGTTGAGGGTGGACTATGTAACAAAAACACTTAGCTAGTGATTTACCGTTACTTAACCATTGCTCTAGCATGGTAAAGGATCTTAAAAAAGCCCTGATAATTCTTACTGATTGCCAGTAGATCTAAAACTGCCTTACAAGCTGACAGAAGAGAAACAGTTTGAGTTGCTAGAGCTTTCAGTAACAGAAACAACTTGTTACTCCAGTGTAAGGAGCCACAGCTCACCAAACATACTTTAAAGGGCTTTTTCAGGATCCGTGATGTTTTTCCCAAGAAAAAGGACATGGTCTTCTTGGTCATCTGGCAGGTCACTGGTGGGCGTAAGAAAAAAGCAGGTATTGGTTCCCAAACTTGTGCTCTGCCCTCCATGCATAACTGCCTTCTCCATCGCTCCTTCTTACAAAGTGCAGTATTGTGTGTTTGAAAACAAAACAAGACCACAAACAAACCCCCAAAAATTTCTGTGCCTAGCAGCTTGGCATCTTCTTCCCATGTCCTGGCTAAGGTATGTGTCTCGCTGCTTCATGTCCAGTCTAATGGCTCCATTAAGTGCAAAGTGTTTGCCTAAAAGCTTACCCCAGGAAGATCTGGTGAAACAGTTGCTGCTTGGTCTGAGCTGTGCAGACTGGCAGACTGTTGGCTTCTGCTGGGAGGTGCTGATTGTCTGGAGGACAAGGCAGAAGAACTGATGTCACTACTCCTGGAGATGCAGATGAGCTTTTATGAGCAGTGGGCCAGTAACCCCTGTTATCTCTTGGTACTTCTGGCAGTTCTTCCCACTGCAATGTCCAAAGTACCTCCTCTGTGCAGCCATAATTCTGTGTCTTTTCTGTCCCTTCAGGATTTTCAGAAGTCAAGTCCAGGCTGTGTCCCTGCTGTCCGCAAAGCCTTCCAGCAGCTTAAGGATCTGTTCCTGAGCGGAGGTAAGGAGATGGCTTCCGAGGGGCTGGCAGCAGACAGTTGCAGCCATGTGGAAAAGAGCTGATACAGCTTTACTTCAGCTAGGTCTTCAATTAGTTCCACTAAATCAATGCAAATGCCCACCTGGCTGCCTCTTCCTGCTTGGTTTTTGATTTAATGAACAGTTTCAGTTAGCACTGAAATTCGTAACTGACACAAAAATAAAAACATCAGTGTGGGAGCTTGCACAGTGTAATGAAACTGTCTTTTATGCACCAAAATGCAAAAATACCTGCAGGTGCAAAACACCTGCATTTTCTGATGGTAAAGCCCCATGTTTTGTTAGATACTTGTCCTCAGCACTCACACTGTTGAGAAATGTTCAGGTGTGTGTGACAACTGCGTGGCTCAGCTACTGGACAATCTGAGAAATATTTGCAAGGCAGTCTCGGTCTTGAAGCAGCCATCATAATCTCTTTCATCTCCAGTTGGGTAGTTAGGTGAAGACAAGGACAGAGGCTGGTGAAGATCTCTGCACTCGCTCCCAGGTAGGCCAGATGAGGTGTCACAGGCCCATGCAGCATCATCTGGGGGCCCTGCGTGGTGTTGGAGGAGCTGTGGTGGGTTCTTAGCCTGTCTCAAGGCTTGACTTGGTCTGTGGTCCTCATGTCAGGGGCTGTGCCTCACAGCAGCAGCTGGTCCTGGAATTGTTCAGAGGAGCTGGGGTCCAAAACCCCACTCAGCTTTGGGTCACAGCAGGAAAAATGTTACTGTTAAATAGCCAAGCTCTTCAAGGTCTCCTTGGGGCCATGCTTTCTGCAGCTGGGTGGATAAGGTAGTCATATTTAAGGCTTAGGCTCTCAAGTAAATGTCCAGAGACAAGTCCCAGGCTTCCAAATAAAGACAGCCAAGCTCTGATGGGTAGCTTCTAGAGTAGGATGGGGACTGCAGCTCAAAAACGTGGAGGATGAAGGGAGCAGCTTTCCCCAGCAGAAATTCAAAGGTATATGAGTGCATCTCGAAGGAATGTCTTCAAAGACAGATTTCCTGACCCCAGCTGACCTCTCTGCATTACACTGAAGTTTGAAGGCACATCTCAGGAATCCTTTGTGACTTTGTGAGAATCATTCTTTCTTGGCAATTCTTACTGCAGACCTGTATGGGAGCTTGCCTGGGGACACTGCCCTGCAGGACACAGCAGACCCCAGGTAGGGAGCCAGCAGGAGCAAAGAGGAGGCAGCCAGGCAGGGCATGAGCAAGGACAGGCTTGTACTAAGATGCTATTCTCACTGTGCCAGATGGCACTGCTGCTGTCTTAGTGGATGCTGATTCCCTGGGCTCCCCTGGAAAGCTGCACAGAAAGAATATGCCTGAACATCCACATGTTGTAACTTGAGATATAATGTGTTGTTCCCACTAGAAACCTCATCTATGTGTTACAGCATCCCCTTACTCCTGAGTGAAACAAGATGCCGAAGCCAGGTATTACTTTCCTCTGTTAAAGTTTGTGGTTTTTATTTTCCTTTCTTCTGCAGCCTATGATGAAATTAGTAGTAAAATGGCCACATGCAATAAGATCTCTAACAAGGAGGATGTTTACCAGCTTTTTGGATTTGCTAGGAATGCCTTCACCATGATGGCCATGATGAACTACCCTTACAAAACCGATTTCATGGGTCACCTCCCTGCCAATCCGGTGAAGGTGAGTACCAGGACACAGGAGAGTGTTGGGGTTTGTGATGTGCATCTTCATGATTCGAGTGCAGGATCTGCACAGCCTGGGACAGTCAGGCACACACCTTGGTGATGGTGACAGGGGGAGGTGGTGGTGGATATTGCAGCCTTTCTACTCTAACAGTTACTGTTTACTGTTACTGTAAGTAACAGTAGCTGTTTAAACTTCTATCTGCTGGTGACTGCTGCATTTGAAATGCACTGCATAAGGCTCATCAGGGAGCATTTTCTGAAGGCACTCCTACCCTGCTCTGCCTTTATCTTAGATGCAAAGGCCTGCGCAAGCTTGTTGACTTCAGCTTTAAAGCACTGAAGTTGCTTTGTTGTAGCCCACATACTTTTGTAGATGTATTTTTCTTGGTGGGTAGAGATGGAGATCTAAAAATCAGGCTCCTTTTTAAGTATTACCAGTTGCTGTTCAGTTGGTTTCATCTGGTGTGCTGTCAGCGTCATGCTGCTCTTCTTTGCTACACTCAGCACACCACACTGATGGGACTTTATTTGCCTCTGGCCTTGTGGCATTTACGGCTTGAGCCCTGCCTGGAGCAAAATACACATTTCATGAGAGGACATACAGGCTACACTGTACTGGGACTCAGGAGATGCTGTCTTTGGCTCCACTGGGCAGCCAGTACCTTTCTAGGGACTGTTTAACAATCTGTAAAATGGAAGTAATTATTCTACCTCCCCTTGAGAAGGACATTATTCTGATTGTAGGAGGTGCTGTTGCCTATCACTGTGGCCTCTGCACAGCTATTTAACTTGGTAAAGGAACTGTTTGTCCTGGCCCTGTCTCCTTGTTTCTATGTATTTTGTTGCTAGAAGGAAGGAAAAAAAATCCCAAACCAACCAACCAAAAAAAAAAACCTGACCCTACCACCACCAAAACCAAAACAACCACCAAGCCCCTACCTGTTGTATTAGACCCTTGGAAATCTGCTGAACCATAAAATATGTAAGCAGTAATTTTAATGAACCTTCCAGCTTAGCTCTTGCAGAAAGCAGAGACTGTTAACTATTCTGTCTGCAATTTGCCTGTAATGTCTCATCCAGGTCAGCTGTGAACAAATCCTTGCCCACACAGACCCAATTCAAGGCTTGGCTGCTCTTGTTGGTGAGTTAATATTATCATGGTCTTTAACACCCTGTTCTCTAGAAGCACCTTTAAGTAGAACTGTTGCATTGTTGTGCAGGATATGTATTGTGGGAGCTTGTGTGTTTCCCATCTCCCACTGGGATGTTTTGCCCCATATTGTCTATTGGGGTATCCTGTGCTGACCCATGAGTTCATCTTCTCACCTTTCCAAACTTATTCTTGTCAGGTTTTTCAGCATTGCAGCCCCTTAGCCTGTAACCATCTGTAAGATGTGGACTTCTAAGGTACTTGATTCTTTTCTAAAAGTTTAGCCATCTGCTCAAGCAGTCACAGGTTCAGTGCATGTTCACTGATGGAAAGTTTCTGCTCTGCTTGTTGAGGACAAGGTTGTCCTCATGGTGACCTATGATCCAGTGGCAAGACAATCTTAAATTTCTCATCATATGTCTCTGTGAATCCTCAATATATCAGCCATCAGTGTTTGTAAGGGAATTATTAGAGAGAGAATTTAAAGCTCTTTTGAAGACTTCCTCATAAAGTCTCTCAAGCTGCTCGTTAAAAATAAGTTCTACCTTGGTTGTTATTCAGAAAAACAGGTCCTGAATGGCAAAAAAAAGTTATTTAAGGAATTCTTATGGGTTTAATGCAGCTTAGGAGGATTGGGAACTAATCCTTTTTTTATTTTTTTTTTTTTCTGTAAATTATGCATGTCACCATGATAGCACCAAGTCAGAAACGTACTAATTCCAAATCACTGCTAAAGATGCTCGGGTGCTTGACTGGCAGCTAGAATAGTTGTTAAAATACTAATGTCTTGGCAAACACTGTTGGATCTGCTTTACATATTCACATCCTACTTCTTCTGTGAGCCAGAGTGGAACTCTGGTTCCTTTGTGATGAACAAGCTGAAGACAGATTTCTTCTTCCTGCCTGCAGGGAAGCACTTGGTACCTCTCCCTGTCCCACCAGCTGCATTCACTTGGGACAGTTTAATCATGCAAGAGGCATGATCCACCAGAGCTTTAGGCAGGGGACTGGCTTTCTTCCATACACCCCCCTCTGTGTCATACAGGAAAACACTGTCTTCTTTCTGCATGCGCTGCAGGGCCCCACCTCCTGCAAGGTAGAGTGTAGTGTCATGGGCTGCAATGCTGAACTGGCAGCAGTTGAATGGGGGCAGCTTTAGCGTTGTCCACTGGTTGCTTCCAGGACAATAATATTCCATCTCGTTCACATGAATCCATTCTTCCACCTGCAAAGAACCATACCAACACTCACACATTGTGTCATGCCTGTCACATCAGGCTCGCCTGGTTCATGACAAAGGAAATCAGTGTCTCAACATCGATTTAACTACCTTAGGGCTTAAGAGGCTAAATGTTTTATCCACATTTAGCAATCAGAGCCTCAAAAGAAGCTGAACAAAGTTCTGGGATGTCACGGCTTTGAAGGAGCTTTCTGCTTGGAAAATCAGAAGAGTGAGCTGAACAGGGAGCCACAGGGACCTGCTGGAACTGACATAGCCCAAGTCGTACCTGCTCTCCAGACTTTTAACACATGACAAAGGAAATCATCTGAAGTGGCTATATTGCATTGAATTGTGGACAATAACTGAGTTTGTGTCATCCAGAGGAATTTGATGTCAGCCTTGATGTACAGTTTCTCTTTTCTATCCCTTTCTCAGTGAGTAACTACGTGCTCTAAGACACCCTCATTCCTTCAGAAGAAGCCATACCCCTCAGGTTATAGTGGGGCCAGGCCCTGAGTCTTTACACTTTCAAATGGGAATTGCTGAATGATCTTTGAAAACTCACTTGTCTTGGCTTCAGGGAAGAGGATTCTCCTAGAGTGAGCCCCTCAGTCACAATGGGCAGCGCTTTCCCTCCTCTTTAAGAGGTGGGAAATCCAGGTTTTCAGGACTTAACCCCATCTTTCCTAAAATCCAGATTAGTGTCCTCACTGCAGCCCATTCCTCTTCCAGTCTGCCAGTGTTTCACTCCCTCCAAGTTCCAACAAGGCAAATCTGGTGGTAAGTGTGTTTGGGGCAGGGTACGTGACATGTTTTCCTGCATTAGCAGCCTGCACTTTCACCTGTGTTTCCTCTATTTAAAGAAAATGCTTTTAGCAGCCTCCTTTGTACTCCAGCAAATAGAGTGTAACAAGAGGGGTGCTTCTTATGTGCATGACTATAATGGCAGGCATATTTTTGTAAGCTTATTGGCCTGACTTGCAACTGCACCAGTCCATTAAGAGGCTGGTACCTGATGGAATAGAAACATCAAGGCCTGTCAAAGAGGGAGACCCCATTTTGGATCAGATATGAGACTATAAGAGCAAATAATAAACTTACTCCTTTCAGTGTCCTTCCTCCAATGCAAAAGATCTTGTCTCTGACTGTAGCCATCCCATGATCACAGCGGGTAAAAGCCATGGCACTATTGCATATCCAGCGTCGGAGGTGAGGGAGGTAGCTGTAAGTGTCTCCTAAGGTTTTACCCCCAGAGAAGCCCCCTAGAAGGAGAGCAGAAGTCTTGAAAATCTGTCCATCGTCCTGGCTGACATCCAGCAAACCTTCTGCAAGCATTAGGAGAGCTGATTTTTTTTTTTTTACAATACCTAGGAAGATCAGGTTTAAAATTTCACACATCCTGCACAGCTGATGTGGTGCGGAATTCAAAACCTGAGCTGCTCCCCTTTTTTAAAGAGGAAAACAAAAACAGAACAAAAATCCAACCAAAACAGTTCCAGCTCTTTCTGTAAACTGGGGGATTTCCAGCTCTTGGGGTATTTCGAGTGTAACCAGGGGCAGCTTTCATTAGGGAATCTGCTTCCAGCAATCACAAAATGGGGATTTGAAGGAAAAGCATTGAAAGCTCTCTGAACGCTGGGTCTTTGGCAGAAGGTCATTGCCAATCTGCCAGTGCCGTGGTCAACTTTCTCTCTTAGGCACTCACTTGTGTATTTCAGTGTGCATTATAAAAACCTCCTTGCAGAAGGAAAGTGCTGCTATGGGGAGGGGAAATGTTTCCAGTTGCGTGTCTGTCCAATTCCAGCCTGCAGAGCCTTTGCAAACAAGGACAATAGTATTTCAGGTTGGCTGTAGACCCCAGCTCACCTGGACAGACACTTTGTCTGCTTGGACCTTGGGTTTAAATCCTGTATTAAAGTAATGCTCTTCATTTTTCTGTTTGCTTGGGCAGGGCTATAGGCTGGCCAGATCAAAGTTGCAGTTAACTGCACTAGTTTAGAAGGAAATGAATCCTATAGGGAACATCTTGCACCAGAGGGGTATAGTGTTACCCAGGCTAGATTGCTATGGTGTGTTTGAAGCTCTGTGAAGCAATTTTGTCCTTGCTTTCTGATAGGAATTGAGACCAACAGAGGTTAAATGAGCTGCCTGCGGCATTATAGGCTGAGTCAAAGCAGGGGCTTAAATAACTTGAATCTCAGCCATTCCCCATCTGAACCTTTATCAGGAGCCCTGCTGTCACTGGGGTGTGTGTCCCGGGGCAGGACAGCCTGTGTGCTGCCTTCCCTGCTCTTGGGGCCTCAGGTGTACAGTCCAGCACAGAGAAGTGTCCTTCATTGCAACTGTGCAACTGAAGTTAACCTGGACTGGATCAGTGCAGTGATCCCAGCTGGCTGTAACTGGTTTATGGAGCAGGGAGCCTGCAGCAATGGCAGACTGGCCCAGGAATTCTAACTCAGAGGTAGTAACACAAACAACAGTACTTTTCCTAGGACAAACTAAAGATTATCTTTTAAGTCCAATCTAGTAGCTGCAAAAGCTAAGTATCCTACAATACTTTCCTGAAGTGTTTAAACCCATGCTGCTTTACTGTCAAACACCCTGCACCATCTACCAAAAAATCCCTGTAAAGACTGAGGATCCCTTGTACAGTAAGAGCCCGCATTATGCTTCTTTTTGTACAGGTTAACAAAGCAGCACAGGAGCGTTAGTCCCACATCTTCCATTGAGATTAATATCAGGGTTTAATCCCATCCATAGCACTATGGCAGCCTGCTCCTGGTTTACCTTTCAGACAGCAAAGCTTTGGGATTCAGCCAGGATTGCAGGGTCAAAGGTGAGCAGGGCTGTGAATTACAAGTAGATGGTATCCCCTTTAATGTCTTGAACTAAGTAAGACATTAAAGGTGACACTGGAAGAACATAGGAGGGCAGTGAAGCTGTGGTAAAACAGCAGGAAACTGACCCTGGAGCATTCGGTGTTCCTAGTCTGGGTGCAGGTTTAGACTGTGATGTTAAGATGCTAGCAAAAATCAACGAAACTATATGAAAATATGCTGCTTTCTGCCAGCTTGATCACCTGAAATATAGAGGATTCCCTTGTGGGTCGTGCCTGCATGATCAGCAATAGGCATGGGGAAGGGAGCTGTGAACTCCCACTTGTTGTCAGCAGGCTGGTACAGTTCCACCGTGCATGTAAGGGTCCCCAGCAGTGTCCCACCACCCACGGCGATGATGCGGTCGGACAGCACATCTGCGTGGAAGCGCGTCCGCCTCTGCATCATGCTGGCGACCTGGAGCCAGGAGGTGTTGCGGGGATCGAATCGGAAAACCTAGGATCACAGCAGAGGGCTGAGAGTTAGAAGGTGGCACGTGACTGGCTTGTGTCTTGTGTGGCTTCAAGAACTGAGAAGCAGTTCCCTAGACTAAGGAAGGTTTTATATTCAGACCTGAACGGGCTCAACTTCTACTGCCAGCCAGTTGCTACAGCAGCACCTCCCAGCAGAGCTGGAGGCTCAGATAAGGCCTTTCTGGAGGTCTAGGGGGGTCTGGGAATATGTTGTTCTCCCAGCTTTGCCTGCTGCTCTTGTCCAGGAGGAGGCAGGAGTGGCTTCCCCTCCCCTTATCCCTGGTGACAAGACAAGAGGGGCACAGCACCTCTGCTAAGGCTGGGCTTCCACTCACATCTTGTTCAGCAGTTTTTCAGAAGCTTGTTTTTGCCACTCCTGTTAGAAAGCCCAGGTCACTGAGCAAGGGCAGAACCACATGGGGCGGATGCTGAGCTTAGGCTGTTAGCCCTGTTGCTGCAGCATTCTCTGCTCTGCTGCTGCTGAGCTGCCTCCTGCCTTCGAGGCAGTGGAAGGGAGTTGCTGTTTGCAGTGGCACTGTTGAGCTGTGCTGAAATAAGCCCACTTGGGAGCTTGGGAAAGGAAAACATGCTGGTTTTGCTAGCAAGCTCACTGGAGCCATCTAGGAAAATATAAAATCCTGCACGAGTCTTTTTACTCCCCAGGCAGAAGGGGAAGGTCCGGGGACCTAAAGCAGATTTGCATTTCCAGAGCAAAGCCGAAGAGCAAGCGGTTCTCAAGTGAATTGGTGAACTTCAGCTATGCCTCCCAAGGATGAGTCCCATGGCAGCAACAGTGGGGATGGGGATAGCATTCATGGGGTTGCTTTCTCAACTGATGTGGACCTGGCTGAACCTGCACCATGGAAGTTGTGTACAGATTAGGATAATGATTTACAGTAGAAGCAAGGTGAGATCAGGGCAGGAGCTGATTCCTTCCCAGGCAGTTTGGAAGCTGTATTCGCAAGGGCTTTCAGTAACTGCCCAGAGTGCTAAGAAATGTGTACAGTTGGGAAAGCTGTGGTGTGCAAGAGGAATGACTCCCTCCCTTCCTCACCCAGCCACTTTTCCAAGGCTAAACGTTTCTTATGCCTTACCTCATTTGACGGTTGCTTTCCAGTGGGATCAAATTTGCTCTGTCCCCCGATGACAAAGAGAAAGTCATTGATGATGGTGACACAGTGGTTGTACACTGGCATGCAGAGGTCCCCGACCTTGTGCCAGGAGCTGCAGCTCTGGTCCGCAGCCCATATCTCTCTGCACACGTGGTTGGTGGTGGTTCTGCCACCAGCTACAAGCAGCACTGTGGAAGCAGCGCGGAGGCTTGTGCTCTGGGTCTGCAGGACTGGCTGAGCATACAGCTGGGAGTGGTAGCTCAGAGCCTCCTGCACGTACCTGTGGCAGCCTGAATCCAGCCTCGTAAGAGGCATTTCCTGGATACATCGCTGCAGATCACATAGAGGAATGAGAGGGAATCTTATGTGCCTTAAAATCTCTGCTGCATCTTTCAGCCGTGTGTGGTCGTGCTGCAGCCAGCTCATGGCAGCTCTGAACAGCTCCAGCTCGCTGCATCCCTCTGTGTCGGTCTTGGCCAAAATTTCACAAAGGGTTCCTCGGTCTAGGTCTTTCAAGCACTGCGGATCAGCCAGGATCTGTTTGCAATGCTGCCCTACGTAGCACATGGCTTTCTGTCTCAGGTCTGCTGGGCCGAGTTTGTTAACAATGGTAAGAACATCCGTGCAGTTCTCACAGTTCAAGCAACCCTCCAGGAAGTGGAAGCACAGCTTGATCACCTCCCGAACCAGGAGCGTTTCTGCAGCTTTGAAGGTCTCCTCAATATTCTGCAATGAGAGGTCTAGTTTGTTGGAGTAAATGAAGTTGAGAACATTCCTCAGCCCAGCAGCACTGACAGTTTTCAGCCGAATGTTATTGTCTGGGCTCCCTGCTCCAGTCAGGTTTCCAACAAACAGGATCTTGCAGTAATTACTTGCTGAAGCTAAAATGATCTTGTGGGCTGGAAAGCAAACCCCTTCTGCCTCCAGCGTCACATCACACAGCGCGCTTTGCATGCGGAGGCTGCTGAGCCCATCCAGGAGTTTAGCCAGGTAGGTGTCTGACACCAGGCTCGCTGTGCCGGCCTGCGAGCGCAGCAGCATGGCTCTGGAAGCAGCCCTGGGACTCAGCTGCATGCAGTCAGTGCATCCCCTGGGTACTCTTCTGCAGTCGGGACAGGCGTTTCCTGCTTCAGGAGAGCTGAGGCTGTGCTGCCCAAGCACACAGAGCCATCCAAACAGCAGCAGCTGCAGCAGTCCCTTCCTCAGCAGCCTCTGCCCAGCGCTTTGCAGGCGCAGTGTGCCTTGTGCCTTGCAGAGCTGCTTGGGGCTGTTTGCAAGTGGAGCTCTTGGTGCTGATTATCACACAAACCCCACAGTGTTTGTGGGTTTTGCCTGTTGGCTGTGACACTGGCAGCAGTGGACAGCTACCGGCATAGCCACATTCTTCCTCCTTGCTATCTGGTAACTACCCATCTGCACAAAGACCAGCTCATTCTTCGACAGCTCCCCAGCAGTGCTTTGTTGGGTGCCTGTTTAGGTACTCTTTCATCTGGGCAAGTCTGCACATGCCATCTTTCCTCCTTGAACAACAAACAAAATCCTGTCTGTGACAGGCCACCCTTGGCCCCCTGGCTAGATTTTATCGCTTCAGACAACAGCTGCTTTCAAGGAGGGGGTGGGAAGGTCTCAGCACTTGTGTCCTGTTCAGCTTGAAGCAGTCAGCTAACATCCTGTGTGCAGCCTGCTCTTGCTGGTGTTGGGGATTGAAGCCTAGGGTTTTCCCAATACCTAGTGAACCAGTTTTTTGGCACAAGCAGAGAGCACCTGTAGTCTCTTTTCTCCCTGTGGATACAGCAGAAGCAAAGGGTATCCACAGCCAGGCTTGAGACCATGTGAAAGCTTTGGCATTAAGTTGAGGTTGTAGCCTAATGTTGGTCAGCCCCTGCTCCAGGTTGACACCCCTGTCCAGCTGGGACAGCCCCCCTTGGCCGTGTGGTTTGGGGGGAAGGTGGTGGGTGAGGCAACAGAGAGGTGCTCACAGGTTGGCACTGTGTTCTGTTCCCCTGGCAGGGGTGTTCTACAACTCCTCTGGCTTGGCGCAGTGCTATGACATATACCAGCTATACCAGTCTTGTGCTGACCCCACGGGCTGTGGCATCGGCCCGGACGCTGAGGCCTGGGACTACCAGGTAAAGTTTTGGAGACACCAGCAGGTTCCTGGTTATCCTGGTTCCCCCCCCCCCCCCCCGTGACAGCTCTTCTACCTCTCCTAGGTTTGCACGGAGATCAACTTAACTTTCAACAGCAACAACGTGACTGATATGTTCCCCGAGATGCCCTTCACAGAGGCCATGCGGGAGCAGTACTGCTGGAGGAAATGGCACGTGAGGCCACGAGCACACTGGTTGCAGATAAACTTCTGGGGAGGAGGTGAGTTTGTGGTGGCTGCTCGTCCCTTGGCACTACCCTTCAGTTGTCTGCCTGTCCCACCTGCCTGTGCCTGTGGGGACAGGCACAATGCACTAACAGGTCCTGGCAGACAGTCACAGCCTTGATACAGGTTTCTGTATCTCCTCAAGACAAAAATGGAATACTTAAAAACTGCCAAGAATTTGGTTTATTCTCCTGTGTTTTCTGTTCTTGGCCATGTTTGCTGCAGTAGCCAAATGCGTTTGGGTAAATGGGCAGGAAGACCTCTCACATGTCACCTCTCTGAATTTCAGACCTGAAAAGCGCAAGCAACATCATTTTTTCAAATGGAGACTTGGATCCTTGGGCTGGAGGAGGGGTAAGCATGTGGAGTGCTGCACCCCCCAGCACAGAGAGCAGCCTTTCCAGGTGATACACACACACACGCACGCACACACATGCACACGCACGCACACCCCCCCCTTTCAGAGCAGTAGTGGCTACATGTGAGTTTCTGCTGGCAGCTATTTTACACTGAACCACTGAGTTGCCCCAGGACATTAATGATCATAGACTCACTTCATTTGAGATGGAGCATTGGGCTTACTGGGACTGTCAGCTCTGCACACAATGTCAGGCATACGGGGGGGCTCTTCCCATGCCTGTCCTCAGTCCTGACCAGCTCACTTTGCAGTTTTCAGAAGATGCCCAGTTCCACCTGGTCACTTGGTGAGACTTTCTCTCTGCTCCTTCTTCTTCCAGATAAATAGCAGCCTCAGCCCTTCACTAATTGCACTGACTGTTAGAGGAGGCGCTCATCACCTAGACCTGCGGTAAGTAGCGAGTTCTCCTTTGGCTGGCAAAATCCTCCTGCCTGAGGGTTAGATCTTAGCCACAGTCCAAAGATCCAGGAGATCCTTTAAAAGGGGTTGGACACAGACTGTCACGGCCTAACTGTAGAAGAGCAGTCTTCTTCCCCAGCACAGGGCTCTTCCGGCCTCCAGGGAAGCAAGGCAGTGCAGAACTCAGCACTAAGCTCACATACTCTCATTGGAACACGTTCTTGTACAGGGATTGGCACAAGTGTGCGATAGCCTGTAGCTGTCAGTCACGTGAAATAGTCCAGTGTCTCTTGGCATTAGCCATCAGCCTTCAGCCCCGGAGCACAGGACACCAGCCACCAATGCAAGGGAGAGCCTGGGGCTCTCCAGCCTGCCTCCCAAACTCTTTGTGGACACCACGCTGTAAGTTTTTTCCAGGGCATAAATATCAAGTACAAAACAGATAATCTGTCCGTCAGTTCCCTGGCTTGGCTTTCCCTGTGCGAGAGGCAAAGAGCTGCCCCCGCTGACCAGCTCACCCTGCTCTGCTTTCTCTAGAGGACACAATCCAGCTGACCCCCCATCCGTCACACAAGTGCGCAAGCTTGAAGCGAGCATCATCAACAGCTGGGTGAAAGCTGCAGGGATGGAAAGGGCACAGAAGCGCCCAGTGAGTATGTCCAGACCCACAGCCTCAGGCCTGGGAGTGAGGCTGCCACTACAATAGAAGACAGAAGCCTGCTGAGCTATGCCTGTGCCATTTGAGGAAGTGTTATCCAAGCTGGTGGAAATTCACCCTTCTGAAGTGTCTTAGCTGCCCCTCATCAAGCATCAAAACAAAAGCAAAATGCCAAATCTATGACAGAAGCCAAAAGCATGTTGTGCAGCTCTTGTGCCAACCTGCTTGCAGTGAGAGGGCCCTGGAAGGCCCAAGAACCGCCACTAGCATAGAAAGTGTGGTTGCATGAGGCACCTTAATGTTGAAGCTGAATGATTTTAGGCAAAAGGTGAAGATTAGATGACTAGAGTTGAAGCAGGGGTGGGGTCATTACTTACACAGGTTCAGAGGACTCCACCAGAAACCAGTTACATAAAAAAGACTCCGTTAGCCTCATCCAGTGCTGGGGGTTTGGGTGGGTTTTTGGTTTGTTTTTAACTTGCTCAAGAGATCTTTAGTCCTTGAGCTGGAGGTTTACACCTAGCAGTCATCCTGGTGTACTGCTGTCACTCGAGAGCTGCGCATTAGTGACCAGTAGAGCAGTTTGCTCCAGATTATCTTCAATCTTTTTAAAATAAATTACAAGTCTGTTAAAATGCGTGATGTGATTTCATGGCTTGGTAGTATGCCAGAGAAGATAAAACTGTTCAGGTGGAACAAACTCATCTTTGCACATCAGCAGGTGGGTTCTTACCTAATGGAATTACTATGCACCAATAAATACTAGCTTAAGTGTAGAAGTATTAAATCCTGTAATCAATTGGCTGCCTCAGTTGATCCATTTGCAATAATTTTATGACTTAGGGGAAGAGCCTCCCAGATCCCCAAAGGTTTACATTACTTACACAGGCACTCACAGCATTGCCTCAGCTTCTGTTCCACTGTTCAAACACAAGGCTTCGTGTGCAGTATTTGCACTGCTGGGTCCTCTCAGCCATCACAGTGTGACTGTTCTGAGCTACAGTGACAGTCACTGGTGTTTCACAATGTTTGGGTGCTGACAAAAAGCCTTTTTGCATACAACCTGTTTATCTCTTCCCTCTTCTTACAAAAGACCAAAGGTTCTGCTCCCATCAGCACTGCGGAGTGCAGGGGTAGGGAAGAGCAGGAATGGATGAAGTCCATTTATCAGATCTTTCAGACATGTACAAATGAAAGACAGTGTAGGGAAGACCTAGTTAGTCAAACTCTGGTCCCCAGGGAAAAAACACTTTGTTAGTGGAACTGCATCCTCATTAATCAGAATCCCAGACTGGTTTGTGTTGAAGACACCTTAAAGCTCACCCAGCTCCAACCCCCTGCCACGGGCAGGGACACTTTCCACTAGAGCAGCTTGCTCCAAGCCCGTCCAACCTGGCCAGGTTAACATAAAGCCACACGTAACACAGAAGGGTTCACATCAGCCAGTGCCATGGACCTTGCAAAACTGCCAGTTTCTAAAACCTGCAGTAGGACTTCAGTCCTCAGAAAGTGCAGAGATCAGATGCTGTGGCCCCATCCATCTACTGGATTTTCTTTGAGCAAGGTCTGTATTGTTTCCCGAGCTGTGGCTTAAAGCCCCAAATGTGAGTTCTCAGAGTCCCACAGCTGTGCAGCACAACATGGCTGTGCTCATACCCATTTCTGTTTCTCAGTGAAAGCATAAGTGAACAGCATAGCTGGGTGGAGCAGGGTTATTGTGTATTGGTTTATTTTAATTAGGAAAGGCACTCAAGCTCTTGGAGAGAAACCACAGCAGGTCTTTGTGCAAAAGAACAGAATGACTAGCTGAAGTGACTTCTGCAACATTCACCTTAAGCACCAGAAGCATACGAGCACACTGAAACACCAACAGGGATTCCTGAGCCAAAGCCTGAATTGCAGGGGCTGAGAACCAGAGAGTCCTCAAAAGAAAATCTTTCAAAGATGTGCAAAGCTTCTGTAGTGTTGGGGGAGCAGAAAGTGGAATTGAGATGGGCTGTGAAGCTCAGCAACTCATCTGACACAGCATATTGTTAAGCAAGTAGAAGCAGATCAGCAATTAAAATGACCTTTGCAAAAGAACAGGAAGAAGCACATGGACTTTTATCAGATTATTTAGGTTTCTGCCATTTCACATGTGATACAGGAGCCCTGAACAATCTTAACTTCAGATCTAAAGGATATAAAGGACAAGGACAGTAAAGCCACTTTGCAAAGAGGTTCAGTATCCCATGAAGAATAAGGTAGAAAGACAGTAGTTGAACAGGCTCAGCTAAAAGACAAGAAGTGTGTTTGGGGAAGTGATGATTTATTCTTCTTCAATTCATTCAGAAATGGATCATTACTTTCAAACCAATTAGAAGGAAAAAAAAAATATATATAACACAAACTCACACAGTCCCATTTGCAGAGTTGATTCCATTAAGACTAGTATAAGACTTCAACAACTGAAGGGTTTTGGTGGGATTTGGACGTACTCCACTTTCTAAGACATCTGTTTCCTCAGTAGCGCTGCCCTAAAGGTGAAACACCAAACTCTGCAAGTTTTAGAATCCACAGCAGAGTCATTGAGTCTGAGTTCAGTACTAGCTCCAACGGAAGGCACAGGCCAAGCAGCACCAGTCAGCAGGGCCTGGACAGTCTCACTGAGCATGGGGGGTTTCACTTTCTTTTTCTGTTTTGTTTTTTTTTAAAAAATCTTCAGTTTTGAGCCTCCAGCTTTTAGCCAAAGCTCAGCTCCTCAGAAGCACAAACCTGCCCCACAAACAGAAACACTGAAGGTGTTCCTCCCATCTTTAAACAGCATTTTCCTTCTTCGCTATTCATCAAAGGAAAACAAAAGTTTTCGGAGCAAATCAGTTATGCAAACAGCGGCTACAGCTACTGGATTCCAGTGCACATGTGAGAAATTGATTTCCAGGGTTACTGGTGGCGTGTGAACTGGAGCAACATTAACATTCTGCGCACACTTGTCATGTCTTGCAAATTCCAAGGTCCCTTTGACAACAGAAAAAGGTGCATTTAAATAATCTGTAGCATTTCTCCATTTCCATAAGCCATCATTAGTACATGGAATGATAAATATTCTTTAAAAGATTTAAACAGTGGTCCCAAGGGTAACTTCTGACCCCAGCAAACAGAACTGATACGCATAAAACAAATAAAAATGCGTCTTACTTTACAAATCAAAGGTTACAAATACTACCAAATACACAGAAAAACCAACTGTTACAGTCAGATTTCATTAGCTCCTGTAGCAGCCCTAGATTTAGAGGGAACGTACCTCACCACCACAACCTGCATTCCTTACGCTTCTCCCATTAAAGTGAGCAGAAAGGACATTTTGATGACAGCAGCCTCAAAAAGAAATAAGCATGTATCTGAGACCTTATCTGTGAATGCAGGACTGTCCAAGTAGCTACAAAACCTATAGGAAAAGCAATACAGAAAGCTGATTTCCAAATTCATAGTGTAAAATCTATTTGCACATATAAAAATGAAAGATCCCAGGGCTCCCATAAGATTCTTTAGAAAAAAAGGATCTGCTTCGTCTTCAAGCAACTGAACAGATTTCACGGATTCTATTGGGACCAGGAATTGCTGTAATACACTTGGACTGTCTGCTTTGAATATTATTTATGAAAAAAACTTCTACCCAAGTACTCCCAAGGAAAAAAAAAAACAAAAAAAAACAAAAAACCTTGAGAATTTCTCCACAGTCCAAAACCGATGAATAACATGAACTCTGCTGTACACTTGTAAGCTTGTTTTTTGTCAAACACCTTACAATGCAATATCTGAACAGGAAGGGACAGAAGAAAGCTGACTTGGAATTATACCTAATGTGCTCAACAAGCTTTCCCAGTGCCCAACCTCAGAAAGCAGCTTTCAGTCAGAATACCTGAGTCTAACTGATGCAAATAATATATAAAACGCACGTGTAGTTTCACTTGTGTTTCACATTATCTCCTGCATTCCTGCAGATAAGTTAAAAAGCTGCAATAGCTCTACAAAATTATATACCACTTTGAACCAAAGCAGCAGCAAATTCTCTTCCATCATTCATTTCAACCAAAGTGCTCTATAAAACTAAGATGCTGTCCAACAGACGCTTTGCTGCTGCTTCCTCCAACGTGACGCAGCATAGCCGGGGAGGTCGGAATGAGATCAGAGTATCAGTAGCAATACTGACAGCTTTGCTTCTATCTGGAACAATGTCACAGTTCTTGGTTTATCCCACTTAGCACCTTAAACACTGTATGTTCTTATGAAGAAACAGCGCTGTAACCGAGTATTTCAGTGAATCCAGAACAAACCAGACACCTGTAGGCTTATTCCTTCTCTTCAGGAACAAGCCTGTGCTGTCAGACAACTCTCTGCATTCCCACTATTTAATGAGCATTTAGTAAGACTGACGTAAGTTGAGTTCTGGTTCACCAGAACCCCATGATTTCATGGTCCATTATTCTGTGAACCACATCATTAATACCAGGAAAACCAGCTTAGTATGGCACAGCTTGTCGATCCGAGAACCAGAGATTACATTTAAGACTGACATGACTTCTTCAAACCAGAGATGCTTTCCTAAAGGTTTTGTTTGTTTGATTTAAGCCAAAAAAGGTGCAATATAGCATCTCTCCTCAAACCCTGAATAGTAAAGTGACTTGAAGATAAAAATGCCACCACTGGAAGGTCTACTAACACCCAGTCTATGCTGGCACCCAGATAGGGAGTGGATGAGCTTCTGTGTTAAATACATATTTGTCAAGGTTGATTAAGTCTATGTCATCTGAAAACAGCAGAAACATGTATTTGAGCGTTTCCCCTAGGAAGAAGCTCTCCATCTTATCTCGTGGCTCTGGATTACTGGGATTCTGGACGTTATTAATGGAAGTATAACCACCTGTAGGAACCTGTGCACACAAAAAAAATAATAATATCAGAAATGTATATTTTGACAATCTAAATTATTTTCATTTCTTAATATCCAGATGCACTTGGAGAAGATAAGCGCTAAGAAACAGATCAGCATGTTTTTCATTCAATGT